GTACACTTTGTAACATTGTTGACCAAACGTGTTGTGGCCATTTAAGATTTTCTGCGACTTTTTCGAATTGGGGAAAATATTTGTCTACAGATTTTTCTTGAAATTTCGGAACTAACCTAATATTTTTTGCTGCGTCAAATTCATTCTTGACAAATGACGGTTCTGGTTGGTGCTGTAGTCTTAATTTCTCTAACTCAAAGTGCTCTTCTCTTTCTAATTTTTCTCTTTCAAATCGCATTTTCTCTAACTCTAATTGAAACTGATATTCTGCCATTTAATAAGAGCCTAACTCTGATTTAACTGTATATTCTGGAAGATCGTATATTTCAAAGATGTTTTCTTCTACTAGTTTGTTTGCAACCTTAATTCTAATGTCTTGCTTTCTCTGAGAGGATTTAACATCTAACCCAAAATGCAAACCTAATGCGATCAAGTCATCCTTTTTTAACGTATCAAAAACCTGAACACTTGGTGAACTAAGAAAATCAGTGACCGAAAATACCATGTTGATTTTTGCTGGCTTATAATCAAATTTAACGGTTCAATAAACAAAATTCTGACAATAAACTGCAAAAGTGCAAGAAATTCTTTATCCCGGACGAGCCCCCAATTCTGTTATGGGTCAGAATTACCCGAAATGCCAGCAAAGATCAATAACACAATTTAAACTTAACAATAATTTATTTACAGTAATATATAATAAATATATCAAACATAAAGTACAAACTTAGCAAGAATCTAAAAATACATACATCAGAGTGTCCGTTGCTGCACACAATGTCCCAGTGAAAATATATCCCATTTATATCTCATTATTATGCTTCATGTCAGTTTGTCTCTATATAACCCATACCCTGCTATTGTCGCATAGTGGTCTAAAGATTTATATAGCGTAAACATACTATGTCGAAATAGTGCACGGCTTTATTTGCTGAATAAAATTCTTCAGTGCACACGCCGGGTATCGAACTCACGACCATAATATTGTCAGTCCGATGCCTTATCGATTACGCCACAGAGACGGTCAATGATTGGTAGAATTTTATTAAATATGTAAACTTAATTTATACAATTGACACAAGAAGGAGAAAATAGACAAATATTATTTGAAAACAGTTGTATTATTCTAAGGAACTTTAGATTAATGTGTACAACAAACTTTCAAACTAATTACATACAGATCGTTAGATGAACTGATTTCATAGGGTTATTAAAACGCTTTTTTATATGACGTTTGATTGAAGGATGTTAAAGAAACTTATCAATGAGAATCGACGTCTGCAAACAAATAAGTCTCACTAACACGACAGAAAATAAAGATGAGTTGCTTTGGGACAGAAAATCCCGACTTATTTAGAGAAAATACAAGTAACCAAAATAACTAAGCATGCAACCAATTTTAGCATGAATATTTTGAATGAGTTCTTGCAAGTGCGCTTTGTTAGCACCGATATTTTCAGGAAAAAGTCAAATGGATTGTCGCATAAATAAATACAACAGTCAGCATAATAATAACAATAGTGTTGCATTATGCATGTACTATGCCTAAATAGTAGGCAGGGTTTGACACATAGTGCACTCGCCTCCGGCTCGTGCACCATGTGTCAAACCCTGCCTACTATTTAGGCATAGTACATGCATAATGCAACACTATTATATACAATGTATACTGGTGTCTCATAATATCGCGGTACTTAATCCTTTTGCATAAAAAGTGTTATTCCAATTTTTTTACTTTAACTTTCATCAAATACTAATCATAAACCAATCTATGGCCTAACTTTTTAGAGTCAAATTATTTCTCAGGTTTGCATTGTTTAATTTGTTGTCTATTTTTAAAACGGGAAGTCTTATTTACCTCCTAAATTGTAGAGTCTCATAGTATCGCGGTATAGGAAAACATGGACTTCATTTTTTATTTTTATATTTACGGTGAAATTCTACATTAAAAATAAACATTTATACAAACTAAAGACTTTCGAAACATGAACTTTATTCTGGCTTTTACTAGGTTATAAAATCAATGATCTAAATATGATATAAACGGTAATGGAAATCTGTAAAATTACGTTTTATTTGAATAAAAAATTACTGACACATGTTCCATACTTTTTAATCGTCACAAAAGTTTACATTCAGACGACAAACAGATAGTATTTAAACAGAAAGGATATGAACTGTGTATCTGAATTTTTGGAATATAGCGCGATACAATGGAACCCGCGATATAATGAGAAGCGAGTATAAATAGTGCTTATACGACAAAGTATATATATACATCGAATTGACAGGGTATTTATACAGTAATATAAATCTAGAATATTCTAGAAATTGTTAAAACATGATATTACTGGAACAATCTGGACATACACAAAATTTAAGAATGTTCTAGATAAAATGACCAAACATGTTGACCACTCTGGAATGTTCAAGAAACTTAATGTTACTAATTATATACATAATGAAACAATACACATCTCACAACACTATTTTGTATTGTTTATGGACTTTTGATCTTGAACATTGTTCGATATTTTCATATATTATCTCATTTAATTAATAGTAAGGTAAGATTCATCTCGGGTTTCTGACTAGATGAAATATTATTCAAAGTATATTTGCTAATATGTCTTTCATATATGGGTGAAAGAGATTCAAAAGACCAAATTTTTCTTTCAGGACTCATCTCAATTGTACAACTTTACATAGGATTGATAAACTTTGTTAGAAAACTAGCAGGGACTATATTTTTGGCGGAATAATGGCGTATGAAAATATCTTCTTTTCTGCCTCTCAAAATTATTTTAGAACAATGAATTTAGTTATCATTTTTACACAATCGAAGACTTGAAGAAATTTTCAAATGTAAATTAAATCAATAATGAGGGACAGAAGTTTCAAAATATATTAAATAAATATGATTTTTCAAACATACTAGAACTATGTTAGCTTTTAAAAGCTTCCAATCTAAGTACAGATATGAACCAAAAATCCAGAAAAAGGTTTTTTTCTCTCTCTTAGTAAACGATCAAAACTTTTTGTTTTTATATCATTTCGTGTCTTTATGTGACAACTTTTCCATATGTGAAAATAAGAAAAATCTAAATATAGGAAGTATATGAAATTACGGAAGCCCATTTAGGACCTATAAAAATATTTTTGAAATTTGATATAACGAATTGTCGAATTTATTATAACAAATTTAATTCATTATAACAATTTCTTTGAATTCGTTATAACGATTTATATCTGTTATAACAAATTTGTTGAGTTCATTATAACGAATTCTTTCATTAGTTATAACGAATTAAATTCGTTTAAACAATTTCTAAAGTTTGTTATAAGGAATTAAATTTGTTTAATCAAATTCAATAATCAAGGCCTATAGAAATATACATCTGAATTCAATATAACGATTTGTCAAATTCGTTTTAACGAATTCAATTCATTACAACAAATTAAAGAATTCGTTTAAACGAATTTAATTCGTAATAACAAGTTTTAAAATACGTTAAAATGAGTTTAATTCGTATTAACAAATTTTTCAATTCGTTATAACGAAATCAACAAATTTGTTTTAACAGATTAAATTAATTATAGCGAATTCAAAGAAATTGTAATAACGAATTAAATTCGTGATAACAAATTCGACAATTCATCATATCGGATTCAAAAATATTTTTCAATAAGTCCTAAATGTAAATGGGCTTCGGTAGAAAATAACTGATGTATCCTAAAAAATTTAGAAAAGTAATGAAAATTCGGATAAGCCAATATTCATTTTAGTTAAATTTTTTATGTCAATTTAGTAATATCATCTTGTAGGCCCTATATCGTAGTTTCTTTTTATGCGAAAGAAAAAAACATTTAATCTTTTGAAATACAAGTAGGGATCGCACGATTGGCAACAGTGATTTTTTTTTCTTAATGTCCAGGAAAAAGGTAATGACCTTGATCTGACCTTGCCTCTAATATTAATTAGTCAAATTCAATCTCACTGACACCATCACTTAGTGATATTGTCTTCTTGATTCTGTGAAAAATTCATTAATTTTTAAATACAAGAAATATGAGAAGGAATCTTAACCTTAAGGAATCCACATGTAATGAGAAAAATTTAATTTTCGCACATTGAGTAAATTCAGTAACTGGTCCTCGTTTACTACAGGTATTGAAATAAATGCATTGTCACTTGTAGGAGAAACACTCATTGAAGTGTTAGACTGTATAAGCATTGCTCTACTGAAGACTTTAAAGGTGCATAGACACAAATTTTAAGTTAATATTTTCTGTATAATATCACGACTTATTGTAATAGCATTTCATGCGAAAATATATAAAAAATCTTATTTCATCTAAAAGTTATTAATATTTTAAATTTTTGGATAGGTTTAATTGACACATCCTTGCACTTTCACAAATTTTAATTTAATTCTTAATACATAGGAAAAGGGGCAATCACGTTGAGTATTAATGAAAAATTTTAAAACTTTAATCCAGAAAAATAATTATATTCAGAGCAGAAATGTTTGAAAGCAAAATCCCTTCACAAGTATCGTCATTCCGCGCTTAGTGTCATGTACAGTTTAGCAAATTGAATACACCCGTGAAACGTACACAGTTTTTGTAAACAGGGCACAAGCACTGTAATTGTTAATGTTTACGATTCACCGGGTGTGCTCAATTGTTACCGTCTGCTCACCACGAAATGCTATAACAATATATGTCTTGATATTAGAAAGAAAATATTAACTTCAAATCTGTGTTTATGCACCTTTAAAGGAAAAACATGTGTCATGTCAAAATATAACAAAAAGACAAACAACGTGTTTATAAATTACCTAATAAGTCAATATCTTAAGTGATTGAGGCAACAATATTTTGTACGAAATTTGCACATCCAGTGACGTAAAACATTTGAGGTCTAAAGCTCCTTGCCTCTAGGATAAGCAGAGCTTTCCAAATTTATCTTGATTGATGGAAATAACACAGGAATGACAAACAGTACATATTAAAGTTTTATTTACACATTTTCATCACATCACATTGTGTTCAATACGGTAAGGAGAAGACCGATCTCTGTATAATGTCAAAAGCAAATCTGAAATGAGAGAAAAATACAAAAAAGTTACAGGTTGCTTCTTTTTAATTTGCATACACTGATTCAAAAAAGTTTTTTGTTGAATGATTCACCATGAATTTTCCGTTAAAATTTCAATTCTGGGGTTGAATTTGTGTAATTACAAAGAACCTAAGGGACGTAATAGTCAACAGGGTTGTTTCTTTTTAATTTGCATACACTGATTCAAAAAAGTTTTTTGTTGAATGATTCACCATGAATTTTCTGTTAAAATTTCAATTCTGGGGTTGAATTTGTGTAATTACAAAGAACCTAAGGGACATAATAGTCAACAGAGTACTGTCAATAGGAGATGAACTTCTTTATGTTTGCCTACAACTAAACATATTCATTACATTATTTGTTTCTAGACTAGGCGTATAACCAGTATAACTGTATAGTAGTGCAGTATAATCAAATACTTTTATTTTATAAATGTGGAAGACACATGAAACAAAATTTCCTAACAACCTATGGACAATTATTTTGGAAGTAATTACCAGTTTTGAGAAAAGGTATAATTTTGTTATTTTTCATTTGAAATATACAAAATGTACAATGTTTCAGTACAAACATATAAATATATCAAGTGTACAATTTCTTGACTGACATTGTAATATTTATTGTTAGAGAGATGGGGAGAAAGAGAATGGCTGAGAGAAGCACAAGGGTTCACAAACTATTTACAAGAGGCCCAGGGGCCACATCGCTCACCTGAGCAATTGGCTAGGAAAAAGCACATATCAGATCAGAACTGAAAGTTCACTGATGGGGGGGGGGCTTGAATTTTTACCCCCCAGGGGTCATGATTTGAACAAACTAGAATTTACACTACCTGAGGATGATTCCCTCTAAATATCACTAAGCATGGCTTTGAAGTACTTGAAAAGAAGATTTTAAAAGGTTTCCCTATATATTCCTATGTAAAACTTTTATCAGCCATTTGGCCCCAACATACCCCCGGGGGTCATGATTTGAACAAACTTGAATCTACACTACCTGAGGATAATTTCACATGAGTTTCATCTTTCCTGTCTCAATGGTTCTTGAGAAGAAGATTTTTAAAGATTTTCCCTATATATTCCTATGTAAAACTTTGATCGACCATTTTGGCCCCACCCTGCCCCCGGGTGTCATGATTTGAACAAACTTGAATCTACACTACCTGAGGATGATTCCACATGAGTCTTTCCTGGCCCAGTGGTTCTTGAGAAGAAGATTTTTAAAGATTTTCCCTATATATTCCTTTGTAAAACTTTGATCGGCCATTTTGGCCCCACCCTACCCCCGGGGGTCATGATCTGAACAAATTTGAATTTACACTACCTGAGGATGATTCCACATGAGTTTCATCTTTCCTGGCCCAGTGGTTCTTAAGTAGAAGATTTTTTTAAAATGCCATTAATTTTCCTCTAATTCATAATTATCTCCCCTTGGAAAGAGGCGTGGCCCTTCATTTGAAAAAACTTGAATCCCCTTTACCCAAGGATACTTTGTAGCAAGTTTGGTTGAAATTGGCCCAGTGGTTCTTGAGAAGAAGATGAAAATGTGAAAAGTTTACAACGACAACAACAACGACTACGACGACAACAACGACAGACAACGGACAAATTTTGATCAGAAAAGCTCACTTGAGCCTTCGGCTCAGGTGAGCTAAAAAGTTACTTTTACATTTTTGTAATATTTCTTAAATGTAAAAAAAAGAGAGAAAGAACTTGAGTGATTTGACAAATAGTTTAAGGATGACTTGTCAATTCACAAAATAAACAGTACAGGGGAATTCACACAAATATTTATGATGAACTTGGTTAGCTATATCATATATGCAGTGATTGGGAAGGCCAAAATGGTTAATGGGACTGTGGCGCAACTGTCAACGTTTTTGAGGGGCCATTTCGAAAATGAATGGGCCATCAATATAATGTGAAGGGCCATTTCAAGAAATAAAAAGGGACAAACAAATATGAAATACGAGAGAAAACACGTTTTTAATTAACTGAATGCGATTTTTAACACATGAAATGCAGCAAATTTAAAGGAACTTGCTTCTAATATAACTGACCCGTATTTTGTGTTAAAATTATGACAGTTTTGGAAAGGGAACAGCCCTACCATACAAATGAATGAAGTATTGCTTCGTTTAACTGGAAGTACTTTTTGACAGGTTTCAACCAATGAGATTTGTTGTTTTAAATTGACTGCATTTAAAACGAAAGTAAAACAAGAAAGAAAGTCATACACAAAATATTTCCAAATAACATTGCTAAAAATTGAATGTGCACCTTGGCGCCATGATTGATTGATTTAATGCGCCATTTTTCACTTCAATGCGACTATGGCACATGGCGCAAGCCCTTCCCAATCACGGTATATGTATTTTTTCCTTTATTTCCCGAACATGACAAGCACACAGTATGTGTGATCAGTAAGCAGGGGATGCTCACTCCTCCATGGCACCTGATCCCATCTCTGATGTATTAGAGGTCCGTGTTTGCTCCAATTTCATATTGTTTAATGGATTTTTGAGCATGAATACTGTTCGTTATCTCAGTATTTCATCGTAAATTTAATGTTGGTTTTTTATTTACAAATTTATGTACTGACTAACATGGCTTGGTATATACTTACAAATTTAATGAACTAACATGAACTAATATTATTCCTCTTCTGCTTTTTGGGGCTTTGCTTCTGGTTCCTCAAACTGTACATGCTGGAACTTAGTTCTGAAGACAGGGACATATCGCAGGTAGTTCACCATCTGAACATCAAAAAGCCACACAACTCCTAGTGCTCCGGTTACTCCAAATATCCCCAAACTTTTCCGCCTAATGCAAAAAGAGAAATTTCATGGGAATTTATCTAATAACAACATATACATGTATTATTAAATTGTTTATTTGTTGCATTAAAGTGCATGGAAATAAGTCTTAATGTTTTAAACTGGCTTTTAGTTTGACTAATATTCCAAACTTTAACTGATGTAGAAGCATTAAATGTAAGAAAAAATATTGAAACAAAAGACAACAGCCTTCAAACCCTTTTATCATTCATTTTCCAGATAACCAGCGCATATGTATGTATTTATGGACAGCAATGCTCTTGTTCACCCAGTTTAACATTGCAAATAACAAAATACAGAGAAACTTATCTAATCTTGACAACCTTTGTTCAGGTTTCAAAGACTTTAGCAAAATAAAACAAAATCTCAAAATAGACAATATTGAATTTATTGAAAGGGACTTCAAATTTACTCTGCATTACATGCAAGATTTCATAATCCACAGCACTTTTACTGTAGTTAAAACATCAAGGCCTGCCCAGTCTCCTGTCCTCAATATTATCAAGGAAAACAATTTAACATTAGGTTAAATAATGGAAAGGACCCTGGAAACCTTTTGAAAATGCTATTGACATAATGACTGAAGGCGGTGAGTACTGATGTAGTGCTAAACAGATTGGGATCATTCCGCAAAACGGGATACAATTATAAATTTACAGTGCAAAAACTATAATTTTTTATTTTGGTAATACGAGAGGCATTTCAAAAGTTTTGAGAACTGTTTGATAAAAAATTATCCGTTTCACAGAAATTATTGAGTTTGATATCATTGGAAAGATAAGAAAAATACACACAAATTGTGTCGTCACTTTGTAATTTTTATGACATAATAACTCCGAAAATGACGTCATAATTCCCCATGCTTACGATACTGGCCATAAAAAGTGACGTAACAAAAGACAATTATTTCAAATTAAAATTTTTAAAAAAACTTTGCTCATTACTTTGGCGCAAGCTATCGGACGAAAATGCCAGTTGGCGGATTGTTTACATAGACATCAATCTGTCATATGGTGTTCTGTTTCAGAGATCTTGTTCTGAAATGTTTAAGCGATTGTCAAACATTGCATGTTTTTATCGAATCTCGCTCACAATAATGCGCAAAACAGACCTAACTGTGAGAAAAAGGCAAAGTTGACAATCAAAGAAAAATAGTTACCGTGTTACAGAATTTGATGGCATCAATTCGTCAGGTGTTTTAACCAGATTTACGGGATCGATGAAGGTTCCAGAGAAGTTAAGCTTAGTGTGCCCCATATTTTCTCGTAAAATTCAAAATAGCGAAGGCGCAGTTTTAACCCCACTGTACCTCTACATATTCGCAAATTTTAAGTCATGGAAATTAAATAAGATTTAACATGTCTGTGTAACTTATAAACCTTTTTTGAAGTCAAAAGTAGTAGTGAGTTTTGGGGCGCCGAAGTTTAATTAATAAGAAAAAATATGCACAGAAACAAGTCTGGGGCAAGACTTTTGTACATTTTATTTGTAAACGGTAAGAGTAATGTTATTCAAAATGTATTTGTTGAAAACTGCATTAATATACTTCAGTTTTATACAGAACATGTTTTATTTGATACAATGGAGAGCTATATAAAAGACAGAAAATCCAGTCTTATCATGTAACTTAAAATCTTAAATGAATGTCGATTATAGCATAACCGGACATAAACCGTGCTAGTAAACAAACCATACAATGAAATATGGAATTGTTGATATACAGTACCGTAGTCCTACTCTACTTCTTTGCAAATGAAAATTTTCTTTGAAATATTTTTTCAAATAAGCCTTTGGCAGTACTTTTAAAATCGTCTCATGTGGATAAAAACGCGACTTTTCAGTATGCTAAACATTCTATATTCTGACGTCATTTTCGGAGTTATAAGGTCATAAAATTTAAAAAGTGACGTCACAATTTGTGTATATTTTCTTATCTTTCCAATGATATCAAACTCAATAATTTCTGTGAAACGGTGAATTTTTTATTAAACAGTTCTCAGGACTTTTGAAATGCCCCTCGTAAATATCATGAATCCAAATCAAAAAACTTAAAAGAGAATAACTTTTGGCAAACAAGGTTTTCTGCAACCCAAAAGTTTGTTAGATTGCTCCCCAAAAAGTTGAGGAACTTCCGAGGGATCAAACTCCTAAACAATGGCAATACAAAAAAAACTTGTCAATCAAACGTTATTCCTTTACAAGTATCTTGATGTGGATTTATGATATTTATTCACAGGCACCTGACGTTACTTATTTTTCTTTTAATAAAAAAAATAAATCCTTACCTTATAATAAATTATTATTAGGTAAGGGTATTTTTTTTATTAATTTAAAAGAGAAATAAGTAATGTCAGGTGCCTGTGTATTTATTGTCTTCATAAAAATTTTCATCTTTTGCACTGTAAATTTATATCCCATTTGGGATAATGTATACCAAATGGGTTATTTTATCCCATTTAGGCGAGTTGTCCCAATCTGCTAAAAACATAGGGGCTTGTCTTCCGCATTGATAAATGTAAAATAATTTTTTTAAAATTTGTATCTACATTAAATACACTCTAAAAGTTGCTTTAATAAAGATTCTGACATGATCAGGCAAGAAAAATAATGTTTTAAAAAAAGTACTACAACTATATACATAAACTCTCAAAGGGGCGCAAGCTGACATCTTGGAAAAAATACCCCCTCCCACTTCAGCACCTATTTCTGGACTCTAAGGCATTAATTTATTTTGTTGCCGCAGTTCTCTTCCCTACAGTGATGATTTTCCTAAATGTTGATGCGGTTGTCAGTCGTGAGCACGCGTTTAATCAACAGAAAACGGATACAATTTCTTCGATTTGGAGCTCATCTCGCTGAATCGACCCAAAAAGAACGGAAGTTGACATGGTTGCATGGTAATCGTGGTTTAGCATATAGCGCTCTTTTAGAGCAAGTGTCTTGTAAATTATGTAACAAATTACTTATATATTAAATGAGTCTTGACAATTTAGCCTGTGAAACCAAACTTTAGCCCATATTTATCAGTTTTCACTGTCTTTTTCTTGTCGGTAAACATTTTTTCCGCGAAGCTGGAAGTCCTTTGGTGTTACCATTTGCTTTCGATTACCCTCTGAGTTTTCCGTATTATCTGCCCTTGCAATTTTGTCAACTTCCGTTCTTTTTGGGTCGATTCAGCGAGATGAGCTCCAAATCGAAGAAATTGTATCCATTTTCTGTTGATTAAACGCGTGTTCACGACTGACAACCACATCAACATTTAGGAAAATCATCACTGTAGGGAAGAGAACTGTGGCAACAAAATAAATTAATGCCTTAGAGTCCAGAAATAGGTGCTGAAGTGGGAGGGGGTATTTTTTCCAAGATGTCAGCTTGCGTCCCTTTGAGAGTTTATGTATATATGTGTAGTACTTTTTTTAAAACATTATTTTTCTTGCCTGATCATGTCAGAATCTTTATTAAAGCAACTTTTAGAGTGTATTTAATGTAGATACAAATTTTTAAAAAATTATTTTACATTTATCAATTCGGAAGACAAGCCCCTATGGCTAAAAAGGTTCATGACTGACATGAGTCCATCTTTGTTAAAATTAAAATTTCATTGAATCTTTTAAAGAAAGTCTTTTATAGTATGAGAACACATCCTGACATTCTTAAGTGACCTCTAAAGATAACAAATACATGGAACACTTCTAGTATACCGGTCCCCATAAATATGGCGCTAAAATAGGTGCCGCCGAAGTCGGTGTACAATATATAGACGATCGCGTGAGCGATCGACAAAATCGAAAAAGAAGCCACAAATTGCAAATTTGACCCCAAATTCGTGTTCCTTGTGAAAAAATGGGTTTAAAAAACTGGTTTTTAAACACAGTTTTTTAAATGAGAATTAAAAGATTTCGTAAAATAACGTACTTGTTTAGGAAGTAAATCTCCATCTTGCGTTGTTTAGGAATGTAGTCACATGATCAATTTTTGACGTAATCTCATAAATATTCATGAGTTGCGTCACTTATGTGTTGACGTAATGAAGAAATGCCTGATAGGACTCAAAGTCCAATGCTATTAAAATTGCGTGATTTTTGTGAGAAATACAGGGATTTAACAAATGTTAGCTAATTACTGGTCATCGATGGATTGAATTGTGCATCATTATCGATTTGAAAGGAAAAATATTCTGAATATTTGGACATGATTAGGAGGTCAGGATATCGAGCTGCAGTTAACGGTAAGTCGCTTTTACAATGACTTGCCTAAACTCAGCGCTGAAAATCGTCATGTTTCGACAATAGAGTTGATTTACCCGAACTTTCATTTCTTAAACTTTCCTGTTCTTTGTAAAGCAAAAATTTCGTGAACTAAACCAAAGTGTAAGATATCGGCGCGATTCGACAGGCTGATTCATGCAAGTTTTTGGTCACAAAAGGCACTCATAGTGCCTTTTGTAAGCAAAAATGACATGAATAAGCCCAAAGTCAGAAAGATTACAGAGTGGATTTATAAAACAACCCCAACTTTAAAAAATATTTAACCTAACCCTAATCACTCGATCGGATGCGTTTTGTTGAAGCGAGTGGGAAATTGCGGTTTGTTTACATTCTGCATATCAACGGCAAGGGAAATAACTGCTCATGCGCAATCGCGTGATTCTGGGGACCGGCATACTAGAAACTTCCCAAATACATAAGTAACGTCTTCAATTTTTTAATCTTTAGGTTCAGAGCTGTAACTCGAATTTACTCTGATGTATATTTCTTTTTTTCTTTCAGTAAAAAGTCAACCTAATTTCATTCTATAAAATAGATGAAACATTTAAAATGCTATTGACAAATGATCTATGTTCATTAATTGTTACTTGATAATGCCTGCATACAGGTACAAATACATAAAAAATAATAAACAACACTCTGTCCCAGACTCAAGGACATTGGTGCTGACTTGTTCCCAAGAGCGTACGGTGATATATACAACTAAATAGGATTTATTTCTTACCAGTGATTGTAAAGAAACCTTGAATATCGATTCATGTTAAAAAGTTTGGCCACTAAGGACGGTGGAGGCCTTATATTTGACGGCATTTTGTTTTTCACTTTTCTGTCTCCGTCGACCGGTGCAAAAGGAAACAGTTAACTCTTACGCAGAATATTCGTGTTAAGGTATGTTGCTCGTGAAATTTGTTAAATCAAGGATTTTTTGAGACGTATATTTTGAATAAGTACTCATATAGTGTGACTCAAAATCCTAGAGAAAATAGGGGGTCAGTGTGCATCATACTGATCTACGGTACAATTAAGTTGACCTTTTTGCACTTAAACTTTAACTCTTTGGTAAATTACTTTAATCTTTGTCATATTTCATCAGATGTAACCATGGCAATAAATATAATTTTATTTTACTTCAAATAGTTTGAATAATATTTATCATTGAAAAAATCTTTCAAATCAGTGCGCGTTACTTGTTGTGTGACCTTTTTGCACTAAAAAGTAACATATATTTGGGGGTACTAATAGTCTCGTTTTCCCCAGACTCTCGCTCTCGAGACTTTGCCCGAGCGAGAGTCTGGTCTGATTCCTATTTAATTTTTGTAATTTCAAGTCGAGGCTTACCGAGAAATCGGTATGGATTTTCATTGGCTGATACATTCTTTTCGAATGCTAAGATCTGAATTCTTTAAAAAGTCAGAGGCTGCGCCTTTACTTTTATCTGGTTTTATAATAAAATACCTCTGTCTGCTTTACAAGGAACAAAAAACGCACATATCTTTGTTTAAAAAGTAAATTCTATCATGTATTTTCATGGGAGTTGCCATCTTGTTAGCCGGTTTAGCGACCTCTACTGGTTACAAAAATTAAATAGGAATCAGACCAGACTCTCGCTCGGGCAAAGTCTCGAGAGCGAGAGTCTGGGGAAAACGAGACTAGGGTACTAAAAACTAAAAAAGAAATAAAAATACTTTCTTAAATCAAGCGTTTTACGACTTAAGCGCTGATCAGTCACAAGTATTGAGTACTTTAAAACAATGAAAGAAAAAGTTGGTGTCAGTGATGTTAATTTTGAAATATTGGACAAAATATGTGATTTTCAGGCAAAAAATGGTATAAATTTTATCTAGACTTATTTGACATATCTTCATTCTTTGGCAAAGTTTGTTGAAGGAAGGTGTAAGACTTGATCTAAAATGTAAATTAAGACCTATATTAAATACTCCTAGCAATATCATAATGGAAAATATTCTCCGAGTAAAAGTATGTGAGGCTAAAGTTCCAAGATATTAAATTTAATAAATGTGCAGATTTGCAGAATTATCTGCTAAATATCCTTCCACCATTAAAAAAAACAGTCCCTCATAAATCGTGTTTCTTTGTAGCTTTTTGAGCAGTTTTTTTTTTCAATGTTTGTTAAAACATTAACATTGTTGAATTTAAATATGTTATGAAAATTAAAAATTAATAAATAGTTTTAAAGCTAGAGGATCTGCGTCAACTTTTCTTAAAAGCTGACGAGTGACATACCTTAAGGACAAAATGCAAGTCGAAGTGCTCAAGGTATGAATTTCTGAATCCAACTTTGTCAACATTATCTGATAAATAAATTCAAAAAGTTAATGAGAAAAAATATGTGCGTTTAATCTTTTCATTGGCAGATCCGGAGGGGGGTCCGGGGGTTGGGCATTGGGGGATGGGGTGGGGGGTTACAAACTTGAGAGGGCAAAAAAAAGGAAATTATCTCCAAACTCGAAAATCTTATCCTGAAAGGGGAGGGGGCTACTGAGGTTTTAACTTTTTCTGTAACATTTTTTAAAATTACATTTAATTGACTAATACTGTATTCAAAAGGGGGTTTGGACTATCAATGAATGATTTTCTTTAGTGAATTTTATACCTACGTCTTAGGTCAAAGACATATATATAAAACCATAACACTACAGGTCTGCAGTTAATACCACTCCCACACCAGTGGGATTTCAGCCAGAGTATTTTATGATGAATATCCTTTTTTTAATTATTGTAAACTGTTTTCGGAGGTCACCCACTTTAAAAACCGTTGAGCTCTGTGGACAGGTCTGCCTATAGTGTGATTCTACGAGGGTTGTCCCAAAGACTCGCAGACAATATTTATCATTGATAAAAGCAGATCCTTGGATCCGCTCACCATGCTCACGTAGATCGCTACACAAGCATGTCCTGGGTCTTGCGCCGGGCGATGGCCCTCGGTATGAACAATTTTTATACAAAGGCAGGCTACTGACACATAAGTCAATGTAACAGGGATTTCAACCTCTTTTAAAGTCAGCATTTCGTATCCTTAGGATTCTTATATTTGTTGTATGTAACAAATGAAAAAAATAAACAGATTCAAGACAAATCACTAGATGAATTCATAAATGAGGTTGCATTCGGCCGTTTTATTTTAAAAGCAAGGTCAGGTCAAGGTCATTATCTTTTCCATTAACATTCAGCATAAAAAGTATTTTTACCAATTATCAACGCCTACTTATATTTCAAAATTTAATAATTTTACTGTTAATTTCATCAAATGATGTTATATTTCCATTTACATCAAATAAAAAGTATTTTTACCAATTATCATACAACGCCTACAGCGGCAATGTGACACACAAAGGGGAAAATTGACAAATGTAGAATTTTTGAATGACCCTTGTTAATTTTGTTCAGTTTCTAAAAGTATAAGGTGTCAGAAAATTACAGGTTTCAGAACCTAAAAATTCTATTTTTAAAGAGAAAAAAAAAATAAAAGTAAAATGTTGTTTACAAGTTTGAACTAAAAATAAAAGTGGCGAAACGGTAGATACCTTTGTTTTTCCGAAACTTATATCGCGCAGTTTTTTTTCTTGCAGTTTAATAATAGCTATATACTCATAATTTTCATAAGTTTCTCTGTATGCTACAGATATCTTAGAAGAAATCGACATGATTTTGACTCATTGTGTCCTTTCAAAAAATTAGTAATTTTAATGTTAATTTCATCAAATGATATAATAAATATATTCTAAACAAAATTCTATACATACAAAATAATACAAAAGTCATTTCTTCATTTCATTTTGTTATAAATATGATATTCGATTAAGTAATATAACTTTTTGGCAGTAAATGCCAAAACAAGCCATGATTTATGTCATGATACATGTAACCACAGTCACCAAATTTAACTCGCTTGAGTTTTTGAGAAATTCAAGCAAGTTTGGTGCCTGTGATAATAACATTTTCAATTTCGTTCAAAATATAACATCATAGGGGTAAGCTAGGGTACGATGGCGATCAATTTTACATCGGAATATATAAAAATTCTTTATAAATCCTCTCCTCAAGAACATCAAAGCCATGTTACATTTATTTGGAAGTATCCTTTGAATATATTCTAGAAGAATCATTAAAATCTTCTTTTCAAAAATAGCAATGCCATAATTAGTCATATATAAAAGGAAGCATCCTCAGGTAATGTACCGAGAAGGGGGAGGCGGGGCTAAATTAGAAACGTTTAATTACTAAACCGTTTCATTTTTAGGTCACCTGAGCCGAAGTCTCGAGTGAGCTTTTCTGATCAAAATTTGTCCGTTGTCGTCGTCGTTAACTATTCACATTTTCGGCTTCTTCTCAAGAACCACTCGGCCAATTTCAACCAAACTTGGCACAAAGTATTCTTAGGTGTAGGGGATTCAAGTTTTTTTCAAATGAAGGGCCACACCCTTATTCAAGGGGAGATAATTCAGAAATAGTGAAAATTTGATGGCATGTTAAATCTTCTTCAAAGGAACCACTGGGCCAGGAAAAATGAAACTAATATGGAAGCATCTTCAGGTAGTGTATATTCAGGTTTGTTCAAATCATGACCCACAGGGGTAGGGCGGGGACACAATGGCCGATCAAAGTCTTACATAGAAAAAATAAAGGAAAATTCTTTTAGAATCTTCTTCTCAAGAATAGCAATGGCATGAATGATCATATCTATATGAAAGCATCCTCAGATAGTGTAGATTCAGTTTTCTTCAAATCATGGCCCCTGGGGGAAGGGCGGAGCCACAATGGCCATTCAAAGTTTTACATAGAAATATAAAAAGAAATTCTTTAAAAATCTTCTTCTCAAGGATAGCAAACGCATGAATGATCATATTTATATGGAGACATCCTCAGGTAGTGTAGATTCAGGTTTGTTCAAATCATAACCCCTGGGTGTAGGACGGGGCCACAATGGCCGATCAAAGTTTTACATAGAAATATATAGGAAAATTCTTTACATATCTTTTTTTCAAGAATAGCAAAGGCATGAATTATCATATTTTTGTGGAAGCATCCTCTAACAGGTAGTGGACATTCAATTTTGTTCAAATCATGAACCCTGGGGGTAGGGCAGGGCCACAACATGGAATCCAAGTTTTACATAGAAACATGTAGAAAAAAATCTTTGAAAATCTTCTTTTCAAGAACAGCAAAGCCATGATTAGTCCTATTCATATGGAAGCATTCTCAGGTAGTGTAGATTCAATTTTGTTCATTAGTCATGACCCCTGGGGGTAGGACAGGGCCACAATGTAAGTTCAAATGTAAAAGGCAATAAAGCCACAGTTAGTCAAAGAAATATGCAAGCATCCTTAGTTAGTGTAGATTCAAGTTTGTTCAAATCATACACTCTCCCTTGGTTGGATTGGTTGGGACCACTATTGGGTTTAAACTTTATTAAACTGACTTCTGCCTTTTTCCTAGCCACATTTCTCAGGTGAGCAATGTGGCCCATGAGCCTCTTGTTCTAGTCAATGTACTCAGGTGAGTGATGTGGGGTAGCCCTGCATTGGCCTCTTCTTCTGTTCATACTAGTAGTCAACTCTAGTCCATACATATTACACATTCTTGTCTTACAATACTTAAATCATGTATACTACCCATTGCATTGTGTAGGACTATCATATATTCATGGGGCATTTTGGTGTGTATTATATTTACAGATACAAATATCCTCCTTTTTTGAAAATTCAAAAGTGGAAAACATACAATTTTAATTAACATGATTAAAATCATAAAATATATCTCCAGTAAGGCCATCTTTAAAAATTTGTTTGGATGCACTCAACTGACTGATAAAAAATTATCGAACTTACTCTTTTTTAACCTCCGGTAAACAATGATTTATTTTGTCCAATTCAAACTGTTCACTCTTCATTATATACTAGTTTAAGGTTTCGTCAAAGGTCAACATGTCTAAAAAATTATTTTTGTAATAGCTCCAAAACTATGTCTGGAATAAAGTCAAAACAGTTTATAAATATATCATTGATTAATACATAGACAGAATTACTTGATAACAAATATTTGTAAAAAGTTTTTTTGGGCAGAAAAATTGTATCAAAAAATGTGCATATTTTAAAAAAATGCACCTGCTTTATTCTGTCCTTTTTGTGAAAACCATCAATGCAGATATAATATATGTTTATCATTGAAGGGCAAGTTGGACGTAAATGGTCTCTGAAAGGCTGTTATTGAAAGCATGACATGTATAAAGACAAGACCCCTTTAGAACCCGCCACTTGCAATGTACTTTCACTTTCAAGTCTTAACATTTGGACAAAATAAACATGGAAAACAACTTTCCAGAGGCTATACAAGTCCAACTTGCCCTTCATTGATAAACATATTTTGTTTCCGCAATAATGGTTTTCACTAAGAACGAGGAATTAATTAGGTGTATTTTTTGAAAATATATGCATTTTTATGAAGAATTTTTCTCAATTACTATTTTTTCCAAGTATTTTTTTTATCAAGTGACACTTTTTATCTGTTAATCAATGAAAAATTGATAAACTATAAAAGGTTTAACCCCATACCTCATATAGTTTTGGGGCTATTATAAAAATAAATTTTTGAACATGTTGACCTTTGACGAAACCTTAACTTCATATACATGTACACGAGTGTTTTTGGATTAAAACAAATTTCCCCATACCTACAAAACCTTTTTTTTCTCAGAGTTGGGAAAGGGCAAGCAAACATTTTTTTTAAAGATGGTCTGACCACAGGCCATGTAACTACTGTCTGGTTCCAAGTGCATATCAACTCCGGTCGTGTATTGGTAATTTGAGATATATGATTAAGTACAAAACAGAGAGATCAGGTAAGCAAGTACAGTTTATTTCGGTTAAGGCAATATCCAGGGACAAAAAGACTCAAGCAGTAGAGAAAGCGAATATCACGTGACCAGCGGAGAGTGGTCTCCCCTGTCTACTGGTAAACAAAATTCATGTTATTAGTACAAACTACAGAGTCCTATGTAAAAATATAACAATTGTGTAATACGATAAAAAGATAAACAAATTTCATATAAAATTTATAGAAGATAGAAATTAAGGAAATGACAAATCTTTGTCACATACATCTATAATTGGAAATAATGATGTACCTTGTACAATGGTAAACCTTCACTGGCGTACATAATGTTTACAAAGTGTACAAGGATATATATATATACAGTTGTAGACAGGTGTGGAAATTTTAGCATCAAAATGGCCGTCAGAAACGAATCAAAAGCTGGATATTGCCATGCCTATGGTGGATGGGAAGTCTTATTTATTTAAATTTTAATGCATTTCCCCTGAATTTGGCTCGATATGCATTTGGAAGTCACCATTAAATGTTGCCATTCGGATGGCCCCAAAATTTCCACCACTGACCGAACAAAATTCCCCACAGCCAAATGTTAAAACGAAACCAGGTTACTAGAGCGCAGGAGAGATATGGCCCTAAGACTGGCAACCCTATGTCTGGCAGTTCAATGCAGATTCGAAAAAATGAATCGTTCTATATACAGAACAATATAAATATGTATCACATATAAACATATATAAATATATATTATCTGATTTAGTAACCTAGTTTGTTTTAACATGCCTATCATTTGAACATACAACATACAGAAACAAGAATTGATGATATAAAGAAAGATCTAAGTCCACCCTCATTAGTTTTATAATATTTTTTTTAATTTAGAAAGTTTGTTCACGAGAACACTTCATGAAATACATTTGATCAGTCATAAAGAAAAATCTCCGTCCACATTTTAAATAAATCTCTAACACCATTATACAGATGAAATATAATAAATGTTCATTTACAACAGTGACCGTGTGCCAGCCATGAAAAAGTCTTTCCGTCTCGTGTGTTGGCCTGTGACAGAGGTGAAGGGAAGAGAGGAAAAATTAATATCCTGCGAGCTCGGCGAAGGTCTGATCCAACTCGTCACTAATAGCCTTGTATCTCTCCTTTTCTGCAAGCAGTTCATCTGAAATTCACAAAATAAAACTGCTTTACAATTCCTCACCATAGAAAATTTACGTAGCCATCTTAGCTAGGGCTATGGGTCAACAAAATCACATTGATGTTTGCAAAAGGACAGGGAATTCAAAATGCTGGATGATCAATTTTGCTATTTATTTTCCCTAGTGACCATGTTCAATCATTAAAGCCTAATGATTCAGGAAGATCAGAGGGGCTCTATCTTTTTGAAAACATTTTGCTTAAGAGAACATAACTAAATCAGCATCTACTATTGAGGGCAGGGCAAACATCAACTTTGTATAATATTTGTAACATACATAAAAACTTATACAATTCAATGCAAAACTAAAAAATTTCGAAGTTCCATGCAAATGCAATTAGTACATTCTTTGTGTTTACAGTTAATAATATGAAGGTGGATCAAACCTGTACAAAAATTGTGTAGATCATCTAAAAATAGCCCTGGTTCTACAAATTATTGAGATCCTGAAGTGTGGCCTCCATTTCCGCCTGGAGTTCTTGTTTTTGTTTTCTTTCCTGTTCTAAGTCATCTGGAATTCACACACAAACACATGCCAATAGGTCAAGTTATCATGCAGGGATCAGTCCCTAGACTGACCTTAATGCAACAAACAATTCAAACAAAAAGTGACTTAATATCAAAAGAATTCCTACTATGCTTCATGCTGATTAATTTGAAATCTTAAGATTTTCCAAAAAAGCTCATTTTACAAATAAAATCTAAAATACCTATCTAAACATTACAAATATCATTAATACCTTTTCTATTCAATGTTATTTAATAATAAAGACAATAAACATATAGGAGATAACAGTTTAATATACATGTGCAACTACACCTATTTAAACTACTCTTACAATTTAATCCAAATATTGTGAAAAATTCTTTTTTTTCTGTCTTTCAAACCAATTAACATTTGAGACAAAGGTTTATTTTTACAGGGAAATAAATTTCCTGTATAATAATTGAATCAAAAAGGTCTTTTTTCACACATCATGGTGATTGGTTAAGCTGGCATTTGAGGAAGTGTTTAGAATGATGGAGAAACATCAGCAACACATGACAAGATTTACGACATTCATTATGTTATGAGCCAATCAGAGCTGAGATACTTACCAGTTAAGCACAACATAGAGATAGACCACACAAGGAGAGTGAGCGTGCTCAAAAGGGGAGATAACTACCATCTTTCTGACTTTTTTATAAGCATATTTTGGGGGCTTAATAAATCATTTTTCTCTGTGTAGGGAATGTTAAGCACAAGGGCAAGTACTGTCTTGTGAAAAAAACATTATTTTATTAAATAAGTCAGCAAAAAAAATGTAAAGGTTAATCAAGTCTGCAAAATTTTCCACATTCCACAAATATGAAAAAATTCAAAAGATTTCATTAATTTGCTTCTTTTTAAATTTGTTATGTAAAAAGCAGCTTTCAAATGTATTCTAAATTTGCTACAGCTATCGGTAATTAATTTTCACCACTGCCCTAAATCATCTAAAAAGTCCTTTGCATATGAAATGAAAATCTAGTAGGAAAAAAGTTAAACAATAGAAGGCAGAAAGAGATGAGGATGTCTGAAGCCGGTGGACGGTGGTGCCATTGTTACCTGACAGTCTATCGTTTTCTAGCTGGAGAGTGTATACCTGTCTCTCCGCGATCTCAGCTCGATTCTGGCTCTGTTGTAAAAGTTAATGCCATGTTTTAGATCTAACCAAAATATACTAAGCATTCTCATGCTTTTAGTTTGGGAACACTCTACAATGCACACTCCTTGCCAGGCACTTGCTGAAAACAAAATCTGTATTAATAAGGGAGCCATTCCTTGTGGTTTGTTGTATCCAAGTTCTAATGTTGCCAACTTATACTACTCAGTATACCTGAGGATGTTACAGATTTTTCTTTTCAATCTTTTAAGGTTAAAGACGTTTACATTGGTCCTCTATAAAACTTGGATACAATTCCCACTCTGCGGAGTGGACCGGGGGAGGGGGTAACTCCTGTGGACATGCTGGGCCTACCTTCTAGTCTGTCCACTTCCTTCTGAAGTTTGGATACGGTACGTTCAGCTTCAGTGGCACGGTTCTCAGCCTGAAGAGAGGGACTCGCACATTTATATCTCACAAAATATCTCACTAGATCTCACAAATATCTCATTATATCTCACAAAGATTTACAGCCATTTGTCTATGTAGTTTTAAAATTGTTAAATTTTTCTGGGAAATTCAATTCAAAATCATAATATATTATTTACATGAAACCCTCCCTTTCAGAACATGCTTTTGATTGACAATAAAATGCTGCACAAAGAAATATAATGAATTAAAGAAACAGCTAAAAAGCTCTTGAATGATAATCAATAAAACATATGTTATCCTTTTTCCTTACTTTGAAAATTATAAATAATAAATGCATTATTTTTTTTAAAACTGCAGTTGGGAAGCGAGATAATAAAGCAGAACAGGGAAATGACAAGTACTCACATCCTTCAGCCTCTGAGTAAGATCTCTAATGGTTTCTTCATAGCTGTCTTCTCTTTGTGAAGCCTGAAATTTACATTCAAAACTTCATATATACAAACATTCAACTGATATTATAGGCGAACTGAAATAAATTGTTGATTAATTTTTCTAGCTTTAATAATTCTTAATTAGAAGTTGCACTGAAACAAAAGAAATTGTTAATTGATTTTGTTCTCAAAGCTTTTATACCTTTTACATAAATATAATGAGCACCTAATACCTCAATATATATGTAACTGAAATATGTGAAGCAATACCTTCAATGCTATTAGACTACACTTCCTGTTAAGTTTACAAGCCCCCATAAAACTCCTAAATTTTGTCATCCATTATATGTTGAACAGTGATCTGATTTCATTGGAGGATCTAGAATTTACTCCATGCTTACTTTCACTCTTACACGGACATCGAAAAAACAAAACTAAGTACGGAGCATGCACAGAATTACACTGATATCATACACTAACAATCTCTAATTTCTCAAGGGTTAGTCTTGGCAAATAGTTCTTCTCAAAGAACATTGTACACAAAATCTTATCATTACAGATTACAATTTCATCATGCAGTGTGCAAATTTACCCCATTAAGGACAAAAAAAATTAAAATCACTCAAGCATTTTGCTTCAGTAACGGCTTTTAGCATGGAATGTACACTTTAGCATGGACAAGTAGCATGGACAAAAGCACAGTGATATGTTAACAACACTGGCCATGCCGGCCCCACCCTCCCCCATCTGAGGGGCGTCAAGTGCTGTCACATATTTCAGTTCTCAACATTATGGATGATTCTAGCTATATCATGCACATATTCAGGTTATTTTACTCTGGGTCCATCAGTCACCTGAGATTTCAGCTTGATTCACAGCTAAATATGTTCTCCAGCAACTGATGGACTGATTTGTTAATTCGTCATTCTGATGACGTTCACAAAAAACATCTTCTGACAACTTTTGATACTTCCCCCAACAGTAAGTATCCAAACAAGCTGTTGTGAAATCAGCCATTGTATAATCCTAGTGGACTTTACTTCTACGACTATTTATCTGATGTTAAACCAACACACTATACAATCCGTAAGGTTGGTGGGGAAAAAATGCAAGACTCATAAATGATTTACTGAAGTGATTTGCTACAATGACTGAGATTTTGACTGGAATGGCCCAACAAATATATCATTGTATTTATTAAAAGGCATATTTAAATTCCATACCCACCCCCCTTCCCAACCAATCAAGAATTAAAACCATAGCCCAAAAAATTTGTCAATAGAAAACATTGATGAATTCTTAACCAAGTTATAGGGGATCTTGACATGCAGAAGGCAGATACAATGGGTTTTCTGTTTTTCCCTTCCTCAAAGGAAGTAATGTTTTTTATTTGTAAAGAATAAGGAGTTTAATAGTGTGCACAGAGGAGCAATGTGCGAGTGAATTACTATGCATTTATGATGATACATTTTTCACAAAGTTTAAATTTTAAAAAAATAGTCTTGCATTTCTTTTCCCTTCTCTGTATAAACAAAGACAACATTCTTGTTGTATTTGATATGTATACAAATAATGTAACCAAAAAATAAATTAAAAGGTCAATGTTGAATCTGATGTAACCAAATGTGAGCATGCTTAGAGGCCTGCATACATCGTCATGCACACCAGCTGAGGTTCACTGGGAGTGACTTTTATACCTCTTGCTCACTGATCTCCAATGATTTCATATTGTTGCCAACCACCTTAAGTTCTTCTTCCAACTCCAAAACTTTCCTGCAATATTAGAAATTAAGACTAACATTTCCAAACAATATTTCAGGCATGCAGCCCCACGTCAGAACACCAAGACGGCCTGTCCTCAACATCAGAAACCTGTTCCATGTTTAAATCCTTAAATATTAAGTTTCAGCTAGGCATATTTGTTTCATTAAATGAATTACCCACCCACCCACCTCCTAAAAACAATTAAATAAGGCTCAACAACATGGAACTGGTTTCTGACTCAGCCTTTGGGTTTCCTGTGAAGTTGCACCCTGTTTGATCCAGCCTGGATATTTTCCCCTTACCTGGTCATTTTGGACTTGCAGGGTTTTGATATTGTTACCCACAACTGACAGTTGTTCCTCTAGGTCAATTACTTTGCTGTAATGGTACAAGAGATGGTTTACGGGCAAGTCAGGTGGCCTTACATTGTACTCAATTTGGGTTTTCCCCTGATTTATTTTGTTTTTTTTAAATCAAAAGCCAAATTTAATATTTCTTTCAACTTATCCAGAAGATATTTTTATCTTAATTTTCTTCTCCAGAATAATATTTTAAAATATTGATAGGCTGCAGACTACAGCACATTTTGTTTTGAAAATGAGATTTTGTTTATCAAATCAAATGAAATGAAATCAAAAGAAGAAAAGAGTTTACTGTTCTTCATAATCTTTAACTTTTAAATGAAACAAAGTTTTGAGAGAGAGAGACTGAATGCACACAACACTGGGAACCAGAGAAACATGCGGTCAGTGGCCATCACAACATGCCACACCCACTCCAGAATTTGGGGTAATAGAGTCGCTTCAGAAAATATCCAGACTGAATCGGTGTGTACACACTGGGCTGAACAGTTCAAATATACTGTTCACACAAAACATAGGCGTGCAGTTGACATGCTTTGGGAGAAGTGGGGAAAGGAATCTTAACATTTGAACTGTTTGTACCCAATGTATAGACACATCGTCTTACTGTAGTTAACCGTGTCTGAGCCAAACTCACAGAGGAACAGGGTTCCCTGGAAGTTTAGCTCACCTGACCATTGATACAAGGTACATACCTTTTCATCAGAAATTTCTAAAGCTTTAAGGCTATTAGTGGCTGCATGCAATTCGTCGTCTAATGTCTTAACTTTGCTGTAAAGGGAAAACAACAAAAACATACACAAATTAGTAAACCATGCATGGATGTCAATAAAACCCTTTCAAACCTAATTAACTGAATCTCTGTTCATCCTTGCCCCTCCCCCCTCCTCCCCCATTTTTGTATATAACTTTTGGGATAATTGTGGATTTTTCCCCATCACATTCCTTCCCCTTTTACTGCTTGTTAAATTCTCTTGTAGTGTGAGCGTAACAGATAAACTACACTTAAGACTCATAATTCTCCACATTTAGTTCAAAACCAATATTGTAAATCTTTAAACACCCATTACCGAGAATGTTTTTATACATATACCTATCTGGAAACTAACCCCCCCCTCCCCCTGTCCCTAAACACACTCATTCATGCATTAAAACTCCATGCAGTACACTTTTATGAACATTCATTTCTTTACATTGAATTCAAATATGCATTGCTTATCTTTTATAATTTTTACAAATGATTTATATCTTATAGAAGATATATTCAATGTTTTATAATATGAATTGAATCATTTTAGCATTAATTATAGAGGACAAACCTTTCTGCTAATTCATAACGTTCTTCTGCTCTTTCTAATTCTCCTTCAAGTACACATAATTTTCGTGCAGCCTACAAAATGTTAATTTCATACAAGCAAGACTGTAAACACACACACACAGAGTTAATAAAACTAACTAAGGGGGGAGACAACTGTGAGGCATTCGCTGGACGGGACGTCCATTGGATACTCACGCCTCGGCCGCTTCCAATCGAGCCTCTGCTCGCTCAAGGTCCACCTCTGTGATAGCAAGTTTACGGGCTGCCTGTGACACAGACAGACACACGTCAACAATAGATCCAAAAGTTTTAACTCAATTTAGCTCCATAATGGACATTTCATCCAAATTTAAGATAAAATCTTGTTGAATTCAAATGATATTTATTTCAGTTAAGTTCTTGATATGAAATTTAATATTTCTCTTTATCTTAATATATAATTTCTTTTCCTTTTTTCAATCATTATATGTTTGGGTTAGTAATAATAATTGAAACTTGAAATGACATGCCTTGCTATCACAAACAACAAACACTTTATAACAACAATGAATGTAGAGCTCAAAATTTGTTCTCAACATGATTCAGTTCAAAACTTAATGTTTCTCAATATTGAGCTATACATTTAATATCAATCTTTCTATAAGGTTGTTAATGTGGATTCAAACAAACGTTTATCATTAATTAAAAATAAGATAAAATAATATATATTGATACTTTTTCAATAATAATTTTTAAAATGTCAATGTATATAAAACAACAAGATAACAATCAACAAAACATTCAAAAGGTAAACATGATAAATACAAAATCAGTTCAATTTCATTCAAACTATCAACACTTCAGTAAATTCTGTTGAGATTTTTAAACTTTACTTCAATATTGCCTTAAATTGGAGAGAACTAGTTCTTAGGCTGATAAAACTTTCTTATCAAAATCTGATAAAATCTATTACCGGTAGCTATGATTTCTTTCCTCACATCTGACTAACATAACTTAAGTACAAAACATTTGAATTTCTGAAACCATCGTTAGAAGTACTGAGAAATACAGAATTTACTGAAACAAATATTTTTCATTCTGATTTTTAAAAATGTGTAAAAATCAGCTTGAAAATGTCAAACTGAACAAGAACATAGGACAGGTGCTCTACAGATCTAAACAAGAGATGTTTGTAAAACACTTATGCCCCCCTCCCCCCAAATTGGATTTTTTCTAAGTCCAAAAGGGCATAACTCTGTCTACAATGGTGCAATCCTACCCAAAACAGAACTTGACCTAGAAATTTAGCTGAAAAATCTGTATACTAAATTTCATTTCAATATGTGCAACCTCTGCAAAGAAAATGAACAGAAACGGCAAATAAGTGGAATTTTTCTATGTCCAAGGGGCATAACTCTAACAAAAAGGGTGCGATCCTACCCAAAACAGAACTTGACCTAGATATTCAGCTGAAAAATCTGTATACTAAATTTCATTTCAATATGTGCAACCTCTGCAAAGAAAATGAACGGAAACTGCAAATAAGTGGAATTTTTCTAAGTCCAAGGGGCATAACTCTGTCAAAAATGGTGCAATCATAACTAAAACAGTACTTGACCTGGATATTCACCTGATAAACCTGTATACCAAATTTCGGTTCAGTATGTGCAATGGTTGTGAAGAAAATGAATGGAAACTAAATAGACCGACATACAGCAGCAAAGCAATATGCCCTCCCTTCTTCGAAGGGGGGCATATTTAGATCTTTAGGGCACCTTTCTGTTCCTACCAGCAGTCCAGTGTATCTAATTAGATCAATAAATAAAAATAGCCAGGCTTCATTCAGCATTCACAGTCCTGTAAATATAACATTCGCGGTGATACATGAAGGTCTGTGAAATACGGAAAGGTTCTCTGAAACTCTCATGATTTCAGTCTTAGGAAAACAAGTTTGCCATTGATTCTTAACAATCATGGTTGGGAATCAATTTTTTTAAAGAAATAAAAAAAATAAAATAACATGTAGAAGCCCTTTCAGAGACAGAGAACAACTTTTTTATCAAAATTCACACCTTCTATCCCCCATATATCACCAATGTTGGGTTAATTAGTCAGGGTTTCTGTATTAGATAATCAGCCATGCATTCCAATAGTTCTTAGTCTCCAAGATGCAATATTTGTCTTCAGATCAATAAGATTTTAAAAATTTGATGAAGTTATAAAATTTATGAATGGAAAAGATCAAAAGAGTTTTAAATCAGTAGAAAGAGGCAAAGTTAATGGGGGTAACTATGGAAATGATGGCCGATGCTTGTTCTCTGTTTCATGGATGTGATGGGGGATGTCTGAAAGTTTGCTTTTTTAATCATCACAATATGAAAAGAGAGAACATAATAACTACTTGATTTAAAACAGAAAATTCCTACAAACAGTATGAAGACTGTTATTGTCTGTGGTGTTATTGACTTTCAATGGGAGGAAAACAAAACTGTCACAGCTACAGAGGGATGCACGACTCAAGCTAAACATCACTATCACAAACAGTGAATACAATCTTATTTCATGTATACATAAAATATTACTTCCCAAAACATTGTTTCTCCCAAACACCAATTTTAACTGCACAAACATACACATGAAATAAGCTTGCTGTTTAGCTTTGTGAGAGTCTAGAGCTGTGTGCTTCACCTCGTCGTATTTTTTGTCGGCTTCTTCTGCGATCAACTTGGCTTCAGTGAGCTGTTTCTCTAGGACATCCGTTCTCTCCTCAGAAGCATTATTGAGGTTTTCCAACACCTTACGGTTTCTGGTGGAAGAAGATATTGTTTTAAATTAAAGCTTTGTCACACACTAGAAATGAACCCATAATAAACTACAAGCCATGGATGAGCCTGTTGATATGGCTGTTTTGATCTTCCTGGTTTAGATGTGGGTTGTGTGAACTATTTCTAAGATCTTGATTCTCTACAGAAGATTTAGGTAAAGAAGCAGAGCTGCTACAGTGTTAAAGGTGACATGACAAAGTTTACAGGCTGCATGCCAATATATAGGTTTATGGTGAGTATAGGGATTTGCTAATTGGACCTCGTCATATTTTCTGTCCGTATCCTCTGCTATATATCTAGCCTCCTTAAGCTGTGCCTCTAAAGCATCAATTCTCTCATCATCAGTAAAACTTCTGCTCTCTAAAACTTTTCGCGCTCTGTTACAAACAGACAAACGAAACGATTAGGAAGCAAAAAAAATAAAAACATTAGTTATTCTGAAGACATGCATGATTACACACTCTGAAACAAAAACAAAAAACTTAATTTAATCCTCATCTGTAAAAGAAGAAATCTTGGACTCCATTAATAGCCACGCAAACCTTAAGGTATCCCAACTTCCTGCTTAGTACAACATCCAATTGTCACCATGGGGTTACCATGGTTACATACCTCTTCATATTTCCTTTCGGCCTCATTGGCCACTTGTTCCATCTGTTTCATGTTCATTTCAAGTTGGTCTATCCGGCCATCGTCCAATAAACTCTTATTTTCTAAGCATCGACGGGCTCTGTTTAAAAATTGATAGAACATGCGATAATGTTTTGGCTGTGGGCATTATTACCTCAGTGTAACGGCTCTCAGCCTGCTCCGCGACTTCTGTCAGTTGTCGCAGTTTGCTTTCCATATCATCCATTCTATTTTCATCTGTTCTGCTCCTGCTCTCTAGGGTCCTGCGACCTCTAATGCCATTGGGTAAAACACTTAATTAGCATCAATAGTTAGCCAATCAGATTTGATGTTTTAATGAAGGGACAGGGAAGCCACTACAGGTAGTGTTCTACCCTTAGAGAAGTGCAGTCGTCTAACCATAGTCAGATTTTATCAAGGAATATTGTGTTAAGGAAGATATGAAGAAGCCGCTGTTTATAAGAGTGCAGATATTTGTGACTGGCTAAGATAGAATTTTTGTGACGTAAATTTATAAACCACTTTGCCTCCCCAGTATTTCCCTCCATCACCCTTTGGCATTAGAGACATACTACGACTACCCAAGCTGTATATATAAATCTATATATAGAGCCTGGAGTCAGAAAATGTCTGTTTTTAGGACTGGCATCCAAAAAATAACAAACATTTTCTGGGGGAAACTTACCCAGTCTTTCTCCTGGTTTACATGCTTCCATAGTAATAGTAAGATACATGTTAAAGAGGATGAAATCTGTTGGTGACATTTTCAAACTTTGTCTTTATTTTATTACTTCATTTTCCTTGTCTACCAATCATATAAAGATATTTCTTAGTAGGTGTGCCAAACAGAGGATAATGAATAATTGACAATTATTGATAATCAAAATAGGACTTCCCTTAAATATATAAAGCCAACAGATTTCAACTTTCCATACAAGATAATAATTTACAATTCATGTACCTCTGACAATTTTTATACAAATATTTTCCACATGCAGAACCATGCTTAATTAGTATATTATCCATAATCATGATAATAACTAGGTCACAATAATAATCAAATCCCCTATCAAAAAATTCTTTTGAAGAGTTTACTTTATACTTCTGTTCCATTTTTGTTAAATCAATTACATGTACACATTTTTGCAATAAAGGCCCTGTCTACCTAATTTATCCCCTAGAATTACAAACTGATAACAGGGAGCATATTTAAATAGAATTTTAAAGTTAAATTATGGGATAAACATCATACCAGGAGTTATAAATGGTAGATGTATGAATCCTGCATCACATTCCTTACATAACATTAAGATATAATCCCAGCATAATAGGGGATGATAAGTTTCCATCCCATAAGTTAACATGTTATTATACTTTCGCATATTTCTTATTCCCAACCAGTCTATGCGAAAGTCACCGGACCGTCAGTTTTTACCGGTAAAATTTAGGTCGGGTCGATAAAAAATTTCAGTATACAGGACCAAATGTCCGATAAAAAATTGGGCCAAATAAATGTAAATTAAGAGGTACACATGGTCAAATTCCCCACAAATATCCTTTATTTGACCAATTTAGCAGTAATACCTAATTAATTTTTATGTATTACAACCCTGTCATGATCATTTTTATCTTAATTCAAATTTCCTCTATCAAGGATTAGAGATTTTAAATAGCTCATACGTAGATTTGGTTGGGAAAATAATTAGATAGCTCATACGTAGATTCGGTTGGGAAATTATTTTCAAATAATCATTGAACTTGAGTAACCATAATGAATTGTTTCAGGAAAAATAAATATGCATTGAAAGTGCATATTGAATTTAAGTAATTCTTTGATATAGTGTATGTTGTATGTATAAATGCAATTGTATAAATAGATACCCTTTACAAAGGAAAATTATAAATAGTTAACTTGTCTATTTCACTCTGAATTTATTTAAGGTTAAATTTCACAGTGAGAATTAACCCCATCCAACCCACCCTCTCAACCTCAGTATCATAATGATGTATGGATTTAAAGGGGAAAAAGTTGGTCTGATAAGAAATTGTTTGGTCTGGTAAAAAATTTATTTTTACCAGACATTTTGTCCTGTAAAATTTTAAACTTTCGCGTAGACTGCCCAACACATGATATTTCATCGATATGACCCCCCCCCCCCCTTCTCTATCCCTAGACCAAGTCATCAAGAAATTTTCTAATATGCCTAACAAATACAGATTTGTGGTTATATCAACATGAGAAGCCTCAGAACCAATGTTTGCAAAGAATTCATTTTGTACACAGGATGCCTGGACAAGCCTAAACACAATCAATTTACAGGTGGAGATATCCATGGGGAAAAAAATCAATGTTATCTACAATGTTCTGGACAGTTAAGGCAGTTCTGGTCTACTGGTTATAAACCGTTAAATTCTCTACAATCTCAGGTCCTGAGGCAACTCATGGCATCTCATACAGGGACCCTATACACCATACAGATTTATATTATAAAACAATTTAATGTTTTAAAATTGCATTATGAATCTTAGCTCTAAATTTTGAAAAATAGTAGTCTGGTGTATAGAGTTTACAATGAATACAATAATATTTTATTACGTCAATCTCAAGTTGCATAAATGCATATGAAAAGCAATGAATAAATATATACCGGTAGGTGAAATTGCATTGATTTTAATATTTGATTTCAAAATTAAATTCTCAATTTTCATTATATATTAAATTTATTAGAAATATTTAATCTTTGAAATTATTTGTCACTTAAAATTAAATTGAACCTTTAAAGAAATTTTGACTGTGCAATTAGTAGGAATGCCATTATAATAGATCTATAGTGTGGAGTGCTATTGTTGTGGGTGTTACCTTTCGCTCTCGTCTGCGGCTTTGGAAGCTTCCTCCAACTTTTCTGTGGCGGTCTGGAGTCTCTCTTCTGACCGCTCCATGTCTTCCTCCAGAAGCTGGATCCTCCTGTTCAAACTCTGGATCTCTTGTTCTGACTACAACACAGCAATGTAACATGTACGTATACATGACTTAGAAGACATAGACATCAACGAAAAACATACAAAAAGGTATTTACAGGCACTTTATCTAAAATACACTATAAACATAAAATATTCACAGGTACTTAAATATGATATGTATCTTCATTTGTCTAGATTTCTAGCTATGATCAGATCATTTTAGCAAAGAGTAGAATTTGTCTTATTGGTAAACTATAGATCTATATATACAGATATATATTATGTATTTAACTTGAATTGAAATTAAATTTAAATTAATTTGAATTTTGATTTAATTTTAACATAATTTAAACATTGTCTGTAGTCTTCATAAGTTAAAATCTGCTTGAACTTTGAAGGTCACTTTAATTTCATGCTACAAGTACATGCTAGACCTCATATGTACGCACTTTATTATTTTCCCAAAATTTGGAAATGAACTCGGAATTTGCAGGAAAATCATACTTCACTGTTGCAACTGCACGTGGATTGGTTCATTCTTAAAAAGCTTTTTATTAATTTTAAGACATTTCCTTGAAAAGTTAACATGGACAGATTTAAAAATGTTCAACTCTTGCTATATATGGTCAAATAGGTATATGTACAAGTTGAGGCATTTACGTGGATAGTAGAAATAAACAATCCTTCATGTTGACGTAATTTAAATCAAGCCCAGATTCCTTGCATTCATCCAACAACCATGCATTATCTGTGAAGGTCTGGTTTAAATTCAACAGAAAGCACTTAACCGTGACTAAAGGCCACATAAATCAAACACAACACAGTCAATGGCTGGTCTTATATTAAAATACCACGCTACACCTTCTGATGTAAACATGTGTAGCTGATTAGAGGAGAAAATATTTGTACAAAAAATTATACCACCCCTACTTAACCTTTTATGACACCTTATCTGGCCAGGCACTTATCTTTTGTAAAATTGTATCCCTTTTCATTCAGATATCAGTGTGTAACATTATTCATTCCAAAACTGCCTAACCCTTCAGTCCAAATCTTCAAAATGGGTGCAAAAATTACTTAAAATTCAATAACATTTTCTTGCTGAAATGACACAGTCTTATGCATGCAAACAGGAATTTTATAGATTAAATATGTGTAACAACTGGCTATGTATTGTCTAACACACCAAAATTTATTATCATTGATCAAAATATGAACAGTGTTTTAATATCTTTACAGAAACAACTATCCATCTCTTTCATAGTCAAGTTGGATCAAATGCTACCTATAAAACAAAATATTATCATGGGATACTCATACATTACACTCAGAGCAAAACATCCCCTTAGGCTATTATTGCATATTTTGAAAATATATTGTATGAAAACCTCCTAGATTCCAGTCATACAGGACAATATGTCTGTGTTTACATGGTGTAAACTCAAATATCTCCTAGCCAAACTAGTGGCTGACACGATCTAGGTGGAGAAATAGAAGAAATATGATTCATCTAACTTTATTAAACACAAGCACTCTCTGAAAAATTTTGACTGCAGTATTTTATCCTTGTCAGCAGCTTCTCACTGATAACAGGGGGAGCTATGACTCACACAAGGTCACTGCTACTGTACACACCTCCCAAAGGAAATTCCTCCATCGCTTAGACAGGCGAGGGAAAGTTTAAACCGTTAAAATAAATACCATCCTATTTATACAGATCACAGGTAAACTCAAACTGAATGAGAAAATTATTGTTGCAGAGAAACCCAATATTATGATGACAATTTAGGAGACAGAACAGGTTCAGTACCAGATCACCTGTGAGCCGTGACCCTCTGGTGCAGGGGTCAGTACGGTATCACCTGAGAGTGTGTCCCTTAGGGACAGGACCGATAGCCATCTGGTCTAGTTCATAAATCAAATAAAAAATGTTACAGGTGTCAATACCTTTGTATAAACACAGTTATTGACTTATTAATAAGATTTTTTTTAAGCACTGAAGACCTGGGGTTATAGAAATACAAGACACCAAACCTTAATCAGTTGTGGTAAAGTTCTTGTTTACATGATGACTTTGACACATTCCTAGGGTCATTAGTATTGTTTACCAGTTTTCTGACTAAGTACAACTGTAATGCAGTTTGTCAATAATTTTGAGTTCTAGTCCCAAGGCAATAAACTTTTCCAGTATGTGCAATCCAAACTATCCACCTCTACATAATATTGCAGGTGTGCATATTCCATCAATGAATACCTGTCTGACTTAGCAGTCCTTATTCATAAAGATCACTTCACTATGCTGATGTGCTCATTATCATACAATTAACATATTAGTCATTGCATAAAGACTATCATTACTGTATGTTAATTTCCCTTTGTAAGGCCCTCCATGTTATGTCTTACTCCTATTATTTATATATAGTAGAGGTAGTAAATGTAGATTTTATGAGGTCAGGCCAGTGTTTATAAGGTTGACCCCTGATAGTGGCAGTTTACAGTGTGTGTGTTTGATAGGGTAACTCTAACCCAAGCCACAGAAAAACTGATAAATACTCTGCCAAACAAAAGCCCCTATCTAATGGTGCAGTTGGTCTACACCCTTCCTTGATAAAATCAACTATTTGTTTCAATTGGGCCTAATTGTCTCTACTAATTGGCTGATGTGAAAATATGATATAGAATTCATTCTAAACATTCCTAAAGGAGGAAACGAGTGTCAACAAGTTCATTGTACTGCCCTCTGATGCTAAAAAGGAAACAAATTCTTGAGTTTTCCTTCCTTGCTATGCACAAAACCACCACCATCATTAATGTCTAGAAATCGCACACAGAAAAGTCTGAAGTACTGCATAACTGTAACTTATACTTAGGAACCCAACCAAGAGTAGCAATTTGAAATCAATTAAAATACCAAGGACCTCACAGTCTTGTCATATTAAAATGAACTAACACTCGTAGAAAACAACTGCTAACTTTTTTTTTTTAATATTACCATGAACCAAAACTTTAACATCTATTTTTTTTTGTTTTTGAAATAATGAAACTTTCTTGACGCTTAACATTTACCCAACCTCAAACATTCAAAACATGCCACTAGTTAATTAACCGAGACAATTATCTGTTTTTTCAGTTGAAGACATGACCCCCTCCCCATCCGACCTATAAAATTTTACTAGAAGTTTATAAATAGGTGTTGGAATTTTAATTTTCATGCCGTTAAAATCCCAAAGAGGAACATGGGATCCTCAATCATTTCAGTAGCAGACTGATGAAATAGATGGGAAAATGCCCAATTCCGATCTTCATGTCCCAAAACTGACACTAGTCACTCACCATCTCCTAAAAACGTGCGAGTAAATCCTAACCTTACATTTACAAACAAGGTTATTTTCAAATGACACATTAGACCTCCACATATTTAAACCCCTTTTTGGAATACATTTCATTAATATCATCTCTGCTCGTAGCTTGATTTTGCTATATGTGCATTTTAAGATACAACTGAAGTATATATACAGGAGAAGTAAAGAATCATACTGAGAACCACATGCTTAATATCCCGAGGAAATTCGGGATACATTGAGAGCGGAAATGAATATGGCCAACACCTACATTCTCTTTCTCCTGTTTAAGGCTGTCTGTAATGCGAACTTGAACTTCTAACTTTTCCTTTAGAATGTCATTTTCTTCCCGTAAAGCGCCCATTTTGTCCTTAAGGGCTTTCAGCGTGCCTGCACCTCCTATCGACATTTTGGTTAAGTTTTTTATCCTAGTAAAATCCACACAAAAATGGAAGATATTTTCGCCGGTCTTAACCGCTTCACGCTAATTCCTTATTCTTCCGCGTTAAAATAGTATGGTTATTCTGTATAAACTTAGATATATTCCTTAGTGATTTAAAGATATCCTTCAAATAAAAATAAAGTTTTCCTAAAGTGAAATGGCATGTATTCGTGAGATATCCCAAAGTTGTTTAGTTGTAAATATCACTACGCGTCCTGTCCCATCAATGGCTAAGGATAGTATGCAAAATAATGTCACATGACTAATGTGACCCAAAAATATTTACCTGGCTGTCTCATGCTTTGGTTTTACGCCCCTTTTCGTTCACTTATTCCCATATATGGCAAAAAATAATTCACATCTTTATAAATTAAAATTCAATTATATATTAATAAAAAAATGTTGCATTTTCGTTACAATTACAGATATCTAGAAAGTATAAAATTAAATCCTTAAAAAAAAAAACAATTAAACAAAAAAAAACAATTAAACAAATAGTTTTCATTCATAACCTTCAGAAACTATATATTTAAACGTTTTACATTAAAATATCATTTAGGCAAGTAGAAATCAATTTTCAGTTGAAAAAGAGGAGGTGGGGGAAAACGGAAAGAAAGCATTGACCACTGTTATTGAGAATCACTGTAAACTGGTAAATATTTGCATAGGTTTCTTTTAAATTTTATTTTACATTAGTATCAAGCACTGGAAAAGACTTATGGTTATTAATTTTTCTAAAGTTTACCCCTATTTAAAGAAATTGCTTGTGACTTTCCCTTATTGTATAATTCCTAATAAGAATAGAACGAAGTTTTTTTTAATTAAGGTGCTTTATTTCGTTACGCTAATCCCAATCCGACCACATGCTGCCATTTGTCTTGCGGCACACGACTGGACGCTTATTACATGTGATCATTACTGACAAATGACCCTTAAGTTAATCTGGTATGAGAGATTGCGGAGCCCCTACTGTGTGCAATACAAAATACCAACAAATCATTTGCCATAAATCCCCAACATGTGTTCTTCTGCAGCCGGAGAATCATGTTTCCTCGGTCTATTTTTGGCAACAGTGAGGATGATGCCTGCGCAGCAGAAAGCGCTCAGCAGAATTGTGATACAAACAGACAAGTAGGAAAAAGTAAAAACAGACAAGACTTCAGAGAGCAGAAGAGTAAGGGCGCACGCATCCGACTGTTTTTAACATCTTGAAATCACTCCAACATTTTGGAAAGACTCCAGCAACATACAAATTATAGAATTAACATATCTATTGAACAAAAACGACTTTAAAAATACCTAACAAGAAAAAGATTTCAAATATTGAGACAAGATAGAAAGAACATCTTGAAAATTATTAGGGATAGCATACCCGTCTTAAGGATACTCTTAAGATATTCTGTACTTCTGTTCCAATAATTGCATATTTAATCATTGTATTGGACTGGATTCCCAGGGACAGACAGGAGAACATTAGACCCCCGGGCCGGGAGGAGCGCCTGGGTTTTTGGTTTATTTCCTCTTCCTCACTAATGTCTATGTCTGAGAATATCGGGTCATTACTGTATATCACTCGGTCATACTCGTCCATTGGGGGGTGGATCACGGGGTTACCCCCCTCCGGTTCCGGTCGGACAGACGAAGAAGATCCCGCCGTCGATTTCTTTTTACTCTTGTCTTTTTTACTTTTCTTAATTTTCTCACCAGTCCCCCCATCCCCAACACCCTTGTCTTTTTTCTTTTTCACTTTTTTCGTTCCAGATTTTTTCTTTTTCTTTCCGGTCCCATCTGTTAAGAGTTCCGGATTAAGGTCCATGGAATGTGAGGAAGTGATGGAATCCTGAGAGAGCTGCGAGGACGACATACTAACCACAGAATCCTGAGAAAGTCCAAGTCCTAAATCACCTTCCACTTGTAAACTATCACAACTATCCGTCCATCTCATAGTGTCCACTAAGTCCGAATCACCGCTCCTCTCCATCCGATCAAATTATAAACTAATTACAACTCCCAAATAGTGGCAAAGTTTTTATTCCCGAAAACTTTTTACTTATTTATTTTTCCTCAATTGTTTAAAAAAATCTTTAAAAGTCGTTGACCACGTGTACTTTGTTTTGAAATCTAAATCGGGGTCACATTTGAGTGTTTTATTGGCTATAAATAGTGCTCCGATGCGACGGAGTAAGAGCAATTATCGGCAAAGCCAATACTGAGCCCTGGTTCCGGCGGAGTGACTGGCAGAACATTCTTCGCGTTACATTCCCATATAGGGAGCCGTGACGTCACATCAGGTGTAAGACAGTGTGCGCTTCATTATCTGCTGCAGATAAGTGTCTGTTGCAGCCTAAGGATTCTTAGTGCAGAAAATTTAACCACAAACATGGCACTGTGTAAAGTTTTCCAATCCTTTAAATCCTTGAACAAAACACCAATGAACAACACACACTGTTAGATATATACCGATTTTGTCCGAATTCCAGTGTAAACATTCTAAATCTACATCAAACACTCACACACAAAAAATTTACAACACTGATGGTGAAATCGTTGTTAAGACGATACATGTTAATTACATGTAATTAAGAGAAAAAATCCACATGAACACCCATACAGAAGCCAGAAAGCTGAAAGTTTGGGCTTCCAAACTATTGAGGAAGCTAGCCATGCAATGTATACGGAGAAAGGGAAGGGTTTTCATAAAAATTTCGCCATGTTTTTTTTTTTACTTTAAAATGACGTCATCAATATCGTCTGCTTACCTCGGAAGCCTTTTTCTCTGCCTCCTCGTACTTGGCCTGGCAATCCTGGTACTTTTCGTTGACGATGTCGAACTCATTCTCTAAGTTGGAGTGCTTTTTCTGCAGTGTTGTGAGATCTTCCTCTATCTGAAAAAAAATAATGATTTTGAATTCTTGACCTTGTTTGACCACATGAAACACGTACAATGTTAAAAAATTCACGTACAACATGTGTTCCATTTCTATTTGTTCATGGTATTCAATGCTGTAGAGTTTGGGGCTTTTAATTATAAGGGAATTGTCTTCAGCTTTTTAACATGCTCTGCAATGATAAGCGCAAAGAAAAGAGCGCATGCGACGTTTCTCGATGAGAAATGTTGTGTATAATTATGAATACAGTACGACAACATCAGTTGTTAGTTTACAACAAGAATGCAATGAATTGTCAACAAAACAAGGTTTGCTCCTAGCTTGAAGACATCATGCCAAATAGGTATCGAGTTCAGAAGGCATAAGATCAGATTTCAAGATGGCCGCAAAATGTCTGCAAATGATGCCATTTTGCTTCTAACAGCAAACGTTTGCAAAAAAACATATTCAACTTTTTATAAATCTTAAAATATCAAAGAAAAATCATAAATAAATATATATATACATCATTTCATGAAATTGTTCTCGATGATTACATTGTTACAGAGTCGAGTCTAGTTTGAAAGAAGTTGCTTATAAAAGATATGTTTTTTCCATTGATCTGTTTTGGTTATTTGGCCTACCTTCGCTTTCTGCTCTTCTGTATCCCTTAGCTGCTGCTCCAGCTGCTCTGCCCTATCCTGGGCGTTCTCCTTCTCCATTTTCATGGCGATCATCTTCTTCTTGATGCTGTCCATGGCTATTTTGTATTTAAAACGTGGTCCTTACAAATTACTACAAAATAAAAGGAATATCAAAAGCAAAAAGGAATGAACGGGGAAGACTTCAACTGCAGACGAGAACCGCTTGACTACCAGCACCAAAGCTCCCTCAGTCTCGAAAGGGCTACACTGAAGTAAACACTTACACTAGCCTTCCAAATAATTGGAGAAGAGAGAGAGAGAGACGGAATGTGAGGAATAGCCTATCACAGAGGGTATATCTCTGGCGAAGGGAACCCCTAGAGTGCTACGTCATCCACACCGCCAGATAACCCGACATCCTTTTTCGGAATCTATAATAATAACAGATTGGAGTTGGGGGATTCCAATCAGTAGAATGAGGGGTGCCAGTCTCCAAAATATCCCAAATTTTCCCCCCAAAAATTTCAATTCTTAAAGCCATGTCCTAAATCATATTGCATTTCACTGCTCTTCATTTGACTTATTTTTTTCAAATTTCAATTGTCTAGATAATTCAGTTTTTGTAATTTTCACCATTTCTTAATTTACCTGAGGTTCTAACAAGCAAATTCAACATAGAATCACCCCGTGTGTAGAACACATGTGGGTTTCTATGACAACGAAACTAGGAAGAGAAAACTTTTATCTGAGCAGATTTTCGCCCACAAATCTGCTATATGTCGGTTTGGTTACAAGATGCTTTTACAACTTCGCATTTACATGTACTTTGTTTTTGTTGTCTATACGGATCAAAAGCGCTTTTAACTCTGATAGCAAATAACAAGACTGTTGTTTTTGTTGTTGTTTTTTAAATAATTTTCTTTAAAAAAGAGGTTTTGTGAACAATTGTGCTAGTTTATTCCTCTACTACGAGAAGTGCTAGTCTTGAGTATTATTTTGCTGATCTGTTTAATGGAAAGTCGCCAAACCTGCTTCAGCGGCGACGTGAGTGGGTGACTGTACCCTTGTCAGATGACGAGCGGGAATGTGCAAGGCTAGAGCTTCCCTCTGAACAAAAACACAACTGTCGTTAATCCAAAATTTATATTGATATTTATCATTTTATGGGTTTTGATACATTGTACATCTTACATTTTTATGAATTTTCTACGCTTCGGAAAAAAAATGACATGTATATAGAGATAAAACTAAATGTATATTTCTAAATGTAATTTACATTGCCGTCATAACAAATCAAATTCATCATGATTAAAACGTTTTATTATTACACGTATTATCTTATCTTTAATTCTCTTTAATCTGTAAGGGTATTTAATTGTTAGTGGACATTAGCGTATAATATTTAATACAATGTATAATATTTAAAACAATTTCTATCTTTATGAAATTCAGGACTATAGGTCATCAGATATAGATATGGAAACACATGAAAAACAAATCGTTTTACATTTTGGGTTTTGAAATATTTCCTTATCCAAAAATATAATATTTAAAACCTGTTTGAAATTGGACTATTTCAAAAATCTTTTGGTCTGTACAATCAATATGGTACTAAATGAAGAATAGGTATATAGAATTTTTTTTTTTTTGTTTTTTTTGTTTTTGTTTTTTTTTTTTGCAATTTCTTTTTAAATTAATGGTCGAAAATTGTTCAATTATAGTTATTTATATAATATTCCATGAAAGTAATTTTAAACTTTAGTTGTTTTTTTATTAATTTAAATTGTTTATTACTACAGTTTTGTCGTAGTTACAAAAACTCGCACGCTAGCTTGTACTATGTATTATGCAAATTTATATTTTTGTACTCACTATCTAAGAATCTGCAAATCTTTATCATCAACTTTTAAACAAACAAAACATTTACATCGGAAACAATAAATCCATTGATTATGTGTCTTAATCATGACATTCTTTTTTATTACTAAAATGTTAATATATCACAGACCCGGAATTAACCACGGGAGTCAAGACTTATAGGGACCCCCTCCCGTGTACACCCGTGGCAGGAGAAAATATATGTAGATAAATTCGGATTCTGCTGCTCTGTAAAATCCGGAATATATTAGAAACACCTGGTCCTTATGATCAAACATTGACTGTATTTGTATAGATCGCCATTCATTCATTAATGTCATAACATTACCAGTACACGTGTTTGACTGTATCTTTTGTGATTTGCATAATTCATATAGCAGATCTAGACACCATCCCTATGGGTTTTATTTACATCCAGCTGCATATAATTGTAAGGGTATTCTTCTTATTAATAATGATAAATCACACAGTCTTAATTCAAAGTTGTAAAATTGTTTGAGTAAAAACTATTTTGATTGTGTAAAATGCCATTTTACACAATTATATTTACAACCTTAGGTTTGCATGAATTTTGCGACTGAGGTGTTGATTATGTGTGGGGTACTCTTTCCTTAATATTGAATAAGGCTAGAAAATAATTTATTAAATAAAGAAATTGAATTAAAATAATATTTGAAAATCTCAGCTAACAGAGATTCCTCCACGAAGTCGCCATTGTCTGTATTTGAAGAAGGTATTTTTGGAAAGTTTTTTCTAATTCTGTTCGCTTTATCAGTACATAGCTGAAAATGATTCATATGCCAAGCAGAGTGTTTATTACCATGGTAATGTATATATTTTTAAAAACAACCTTCAAAACTAAAATGCAGAGAAAAAGTTAAACAAGATCATATAATTTTCTAAAGCAGAGTCTAAAGTTAGTATTTTTTATTTGTTTGTTTTGCTTTGTATTGCTATTGAATTGTATTATTTTTGTTTGTTATAATTCAGTTAATCAGTGGATATCCTTTTATAATTAGGTAGACAGGTATTACAGGTTGTGTTGTTATAAGAGTACAGATACATAACGAGCCGCTGCTGCTGCTGAACAGAGGAAATTCCGCATTCCTCGCACCGAGAGATAAGTATCAAGTAACAAGCAATGACTGTCAAGATCAAACACATCGTAAGTTTCCAAATTTGACAGATGTACTATCGGTGTCTTAATCATGAAAGTCAGATTTTTAAAACCCAAGCAACATATAATGTCCAGTGAGTACCCATTCTCTTCCTCCCCCCCCCTCTCTCTCTCTCTCATGTTCTTCGCCAACTCCATATTTCATTGACAAGATCCATTTGATACAAGGTCATATGTTATAAGATTTGAATTTATGCAACATATATAACATTGTGTTATTTAAAATGTTATACAATAGACATGATATATTTAACACTGCATATCAAATTTTAAAATCAAGTTCAAATTCATTTTTTTTTTAAATTGAATATCACAATTATATATTTCTTTGATTTGAACATATTTTATTGTTTAACACAAAAGAAAACAGAAACAAGTTCTTGCAACTTACAAGTTCTTCTCCTGGTGTTAGTAAAGTTGATACAGTTAGTACAGTTGTCATAATAATAAAATAATAAAGTATATAATATTTCTTTAATAGATGCCATTCAATTTCAGTAAATATTGTTAAAGATTATTGTGCTGTTAAAAAGAACCCTTACCAAAAGAAAAACAAAAGTTTGCAAAGTTAAATCATTAAAATTCAGAATAAACAGTCAATCAACAAACAAGACCTATTAACCTTGATTTTACTTGTTTTTACTTTAGTTTGTTTTTGTTTTTACTTTGAGTTCGTTCTGCGAATGATAACATTTTAATAATTGCTTCACAGCAGTATTCAAATTTAAAGATGGATGATAAGTTATGTTTTCAGAATTTCTTGATGATAACTGCGTCTGAGTTGTGGTATTGGCGGCCTTCCATTTGGCGCGCTATCTGTTAGAGCTACCTATAACTCGTCCCTAGGCATGTAATTCACTAGATCTGTCCAGATCTCACCGATAATTTGTAGACTTTAAATTATTTCTTATGTCAGAACAATCTTAAACTAGAATTAACAGTGTTAGATTTCGAAAACACGCACTCCAGTTATAACATTGAACTAAACCCATTTATTTGTTCTGTTTCTTCGTCAGCATTCTTCCAAAGCCATATTCTTAAATCATTCCATTTGAAAGATTTTTTTAACAATTGCATAAATAATATAATAAACAGATAAAAGTATAAAGCTCGATGCTTCTTTTAAATTGATCATTTCTTTTAAGAATATTGGGTTTTGGAAACAAAATGGCTGTCAGACTTACCGAAGCCATGTCTCATCGCTTAATTATTATAGTATCTATATAATGTAAAAAAGAACGCGGAAATTATAAAGATAAAGGTGTTAATGAAGAAATCACCATTCTCAAGAATATTTAAATTGTATACACTGAGGCAGTTATAATGTATAAGACAAACCTAAGGAATTTAAAAATCGTATACACTGAAACATCTATAGCTATATTGTTGTATATGAAATAAAGTAATGATGTTAAAATTACACTGAGACAGCTCTATTGTTTAAAAAATAAGGATGTAAAAATTGTATAGACTTAGACATCTATATTGTATAAGAAACCGACTAAGGATGTTAAAATTGTATAGACTTAGACATCTTTAATGCATGAGAAATGAACTTGATAATATGTATACACTAAGGCGTATATAGTGTATAAGAATGCAATTTAGAATGTTAACATTAACTGTATATACTTAGGCAGCTATATTGTATAAGAAACAAACCTATGATAATAAAATTGTACACACAAAGGCAGCTACACAAGAAGGCAGCTATATTGTACAGAATCCGACAAAAGACATTGATATTGTAAATTATTATGCTTCCTGTCAGTTTGTCTCTATATAACCCATACTCTACTATTCTCGCATAGTGGTCTAAGGATTTATATAAGCATACTATGCCGAAATGTATAAGAATAAAATTCTTCTATGCAAAATAATGCCTTATCGATTACACATAGAGACGATGTTAAAATTTATACTGTATATACAGTTATATCATTCTAAGGCTTTAGATTAATGTGTACTATATTACATACAGTAGATGAAGAAACAAACGCTTGATTGAAGGATGTAAAAGAAAATTATCAATGAGAATCGACGTCTGCAAACAAATAAGGCTTACGAACAGATGTGTTGCTTTGGGACAGAAAATCCCGACTTATTTAGAGAAAATACTAGTAACCAAAATAACTAAGCATGCAAACAATTTTAGCATGAATATTTTGAATTAGTTCTTGCAGGTGCGCTGTTTAAGCACCGATATTTTCAGGAAAAAGTCAAATAGATTGCCGCATAT